GAGGGGCCCAGGAGGAGGAGGAAAGATCTTCCAGAGGAACAAGGCACTGAGGGGAGGAGAGACTCAGGGGCGAGTCCCCACCCTGATGGGGAGGATGCTGTTGCAAGAAAGGGGCGTTGACCAGGGTCTGGGACAGGAAGAGAACCACACTCTGGGGCCACAAAAGGGTCATCTTTCCTTCCCTTATTTCTCTGCATTTCCCCTTTGTGCTCATTGTCACAGTGACATCGCCCTGAGCTGCACAGTTGGCGGGTGAGTGTGTCCCTGCTGATCTGAGCTCTGCTGGCCACAGGGACCCACGTCTTCCTGAAGTGTCTCCAGGGCCCGGGTGACACTATCCATGCTGGGGACTCCAGGGAGGTGCTGATGGACGGGCTGAGGAGGAAGGAGACCCCGTGGGGGAGGCTCTGACAGGGAAGGACATGCCCTGGGTCATCTCACCTGCAAGGCAGGGTGGGGAGGAAGGGGAGGGTGCATGGGAGGCAAGCCCTTCCGTCCTCTAACCCCCTGGGATTTCCCTTTACCTCCATTCCTATTGGAAGGTCCCCTCCCCACACGCCTGCTTCTCCACAGAGAGTCTCTTCCAGGCCTGTCCTGATGTTCAGGATGCAAAGAGGTGGAGAGTGGGATCTGCCCTGCCCCATGGTGTCCTCTCTCCCTAAGTTGGCATCTGACTGTGATGTGCCCAGCAGAGCCCACGCCAAAGGTGAGCCTCACACTCACACCTGGACAGACGCCCATGCCCGGCTAGAATGGATTGATTCCATTTCACTCACACACAGAGGACATGGCTCAGTGCTGAACATGGGCTGAGTCCATGGGTAGAGAGACCCCAGTGCCTGTATCCAAAGCATGTGGAGGGGACAACTCTGCTCCAACATTCCCCCTGAGTCCATTCCTCTCCCTGTGTGTGGCCACCCTGGGTCCCTCTCTTGTCCACACAAATGTGTACCAAATGCATTCTGGGTACAGCCAGGCTGATGAGTTCTGGCTGTACCCAGACACCAGTGGCCACTCAACTCTCGCAGTGGTTGTGTGTTCTGCTTCCCTCTCCATCTGGGGAACTTCCACTTCCCTTTTGGGCACTGAGGATGGCCACATGTTTCAGAAACAGTGTGCACAGCCTTTCTCAGTATCAGGAGCAGATGGGATTTGTACGTGGGTATAGGAATCACCCAATTCCTGCGGGGTTCTGAACAACACCACTCATGGCTCACCTCACAGGCTTAGTCAGGTGTGGAAATAAACCAGGATGGCTCCCTCCAGGACCCCGGGCACTGACGCCACAACCACTCTAAGGAGTTGGGTTCTTGACCACGTGCTGCATGAGAGGAAACTGCGGCTCAAGAGATTGTACGTTGAGGGTGAAGGTCACACACCTGATGGACAATGGAGGACTATTTACATAAGAATCAGCCCAGCCTGCATGGCTAAGGGGTTGTACATCAATCTATGTACCAGGAGGTTGAGGTTTGATTTTCTGTGAGGGCACATGGCCGGGTTGTGGGCATGATCCCCAGTGTGGAATGTGCAGGAGGCAGCCAGTCAGTGAATCTCTCTTATCATTGATGTATCTGTCTCTCTCACGCTCTACCTTCCGCTCTGTAATCAATAAAAAAAATATTTTTAAAAAATAAAAAATAAATGAGATCATTTTTGTTCACCAACTCGGAGAAATAACACACATTGTCACTGACTGTGAAGACAGGGGCCCAGGAGGAGGAGGAAAGATCTTCCAGAGGAACAAGGCACTGAGGGGAGGAGAGACTCAGGGGCGAGTCCCCACCCTGATGGGGAGGATGCTGTTGCAAGAAAGGGGCGTTGACCAGGGTCTGGGACAGGAAGAGAACCACACTCTGGGGCCACAAAAGGGTCATCTTTCCTTCCCTTATTTCTCTGCATTTCCCCTTTGTGCTCATTGTCACAGTGACATCGCCCTGAGCTGCACAGTTGGCGGGTGAGTGTGTCCCTGCTGATCTGAGCTCTGCTGGCCACAGGGACCCACGTCTTCCTGAAGTGTCTCCAGGGCCCGGGTGACACTATCCATGCTGGGGACTCCAGGGAGGTGCTGATGGACGGGCTGAGGAGGAAGGAGACCCCGTGGGGGAGGCTCTGACAGGGAAGGACATGCCCTGGGTCATCTCACCTGCAAGGGCCATCTCAGGAGACTCCGGCTCTATTTCCTGCTTCACCATGAAAATGAGAGCCAGTCTGTGACCTCCCCTATAGGCTGCTGATGTGACAACCCTGTGACAGGAAAGACCGTACTCCAAGTGACCATCACCCGTGCATCTCTGTGTCCAAACTGCTGGCTCCGTGGCCTCCATCTGCTCAGCTGAGGTCACAGGGAGAAGATACAATGACCCCCACCCTCAGGGCCCTGCTCTGCCTCGGTGAGATGGGAAGCAGAGGGGAGCCCTGATCTGTCAGGATCCAGGACTCAGGAGGCTCATGGGGAGGAGGGTGCTGCTCAGGGGTCAGGGCAACACTCTTACAGGGACTCTCTTCCAGGGCTGAGTGTGGGCCTCAGGACCCCAGTGCAGGCAGGTGAGTCTGTCCCCAGGTTTCCAGGTACCACTCCTCACTGGCGACAAGGTCCACACCACAGGCAGCAGGAAAAGGGGTGCAGATCTGTCTGAGAGATGAGGGGCATCTGGGACTGAGACCTGGGGCCAGGGTGGGAATGTCCTGTGACCCAGCTTCTGATTTATTCCAGGACCCCTCCCCAAGCCCACGCTCTGGGCTGAGCCAGGCCCTGTGATCCCCTGGGGGAGCCCCGTGACCATCTGGTGTGAGGGAACCACAGGGGCTGAGGAGTACCATCTGGAGAAAGAGGGAAGCCCAGCACTATGGAATATACAGAAGCCACAGGAGCCTGGGGACAAGGCCAAGTTCTCCATCACACACATGACAGAGAGTGACGCAGGGATATATCACTGTTACTATCTCAGCCCCACTAACTTGTCAGAGCGCAGTGACCCCCTGGAGCTGGTGATGACAGGTTAGATGACACTCTGGGGCCCCAGCCTCAGGCTCTGCCCTCAGGAAGGGGATCTGCTCTCAGGGTGTCTCCCTCTCACAGCCCCGCCCTGAAGGACATGAGGGAGTTTTGATCCCATTTAACATGATTCCTCCTCCTCTCCTAGGATCCTTCAACAAACCCAGCCTCTCAGCCCTGCCCAGCCCTGTCGTGGCCTCAGGAGGGATCGTGACCCTCCAGTGTGGCTCAGGGCAGGGATTTGACAGGTTCATTCTGACTAAGGAAGGAGGTCACAGGCTCTCCAGGACCCTGGGCTCACAGCCACAGCCCAGTGGGCGGTCCCAGGCCCTGTTCCCTGTGGGCCCTGTTACCCTCACACAGAGGTGGAGGTTCAGATGCTATGGCTATTTC